TGCGAGCGACACGGGGGCTGGGCCCGTGTGGTAGGAGCTGGGGAATACAGGAGGCATACATTGGTTTTGTGACTAACAGAATTAATCGGTGTGAACTCATCCGGACAGGCTAGTCCCGGCCGATGCGACCTGCAGTTGAACCTACGGTAATGGGCATCCGGCGTCCGCTCGCCGGGAAGGGCCTCCGGGGCACCTGGTTTGTCCGCCTCATGCGTGAGCATTTGTAACAACATCCCCGGCGTGCGGTGGTCCGGTGGATGCTTCAGATGCTCCGTTGGCTAGTAATCTGAGAGCGACCCATTCATTCATCTTATTCATCCCGGCGCCATAAGTGCGGGTCTAGAAAAAAAGAATGAGCCCGCCCTGAAGGGGAGGAGCCCAGCATGTGTTAAAATGAGCGTAATGACGTGTTTTGGGGTCTTTCACATAGGGTGCATTCAGAGTGCAAAAAAAAGGGGAGTGGTTAGTTCCACCAGGAGTAAGGAAAGCTTCCCAGAGAAGGTGACAGCTGAAATGACTCTTGAAATAGGTATTTTCTTAGCTTCTGCGGGGCGGGGCGGGGAGGTAGGGAGGGGGGTTGCGGGGGGAAGGCAGGGCAGCATGAGCAAAGGGCGAGGTAAGACTGCCTATGTCCATAAAGCATGCAGCACATCTTACCTTTTGACGTCTCTGATTCTTTTTAGAGAGTGTTATTGTATATTGAACCCTTCTTCTTGCAACAAGGACAGTCCAGCTGCATAGACTTCTCTGTTTTGAATGCCCATTATGTGTTGGGCAGCATGTAAATACAAAAACTGAGGGGACAGTAATGAACAAGACTCTTTCATTTCCCGCGAGGAATTATGCCTCGGTGGTCGGGACAGACATGACTCAGACCATAAATCAGTATGGATGTTAAGTGCTCATGTTTTGGACAAAGTTCCGTGAGAGTATGAAAGACAGATTAGGGGAGGATCACATATTAGGAAAGGGGGAGAGTGTCAGGCACTTTAGGCAGAACTCGTGGTCAGGACAACCCTGCAATGATTTAGAAACTGTAATCACCTTATTCTCCCTGTGTTTCTTCCACATTTAGCAAAGGAACCAATTTATATGAATTCTCGATCCTTTTTTTATGTGATACTGTTTTCAGTGCCTTTGCCTATGAGTAGTTTTCAGCTTGTCCATATCTCTTTTAGTCAGTCACATAAATTAAGTATCCAATGTTATTAGGGAAATTTCATGCCAGAATAGTGATTCTCATCTATTTACCACCACAACATCCACATACTTCCATCAAAAAGAGTGAGTCACAAACCAGTGATTCCTACGGGGCTCACCTCATTAGGTTTACCTAGCATTTTTTTTTAATTGTACCTATCACTGTATTTTATCTTTATGTATTAAATATATTTTTATTGATTTCAGAGAGGAAAGGAGAAAAAGAGAGATAGAAATGTCAATGATGAGAGAATCATCCATTGGCTGCCTCCTGCACTGCCCCCTACTGGGGATCAGCCGAACCTGGGCAGGTGCCCTGACAGGGTATCCAACCATGACCTCCTAGTTCAGTGGTTGGCAAACACTTTAGTCAACAGAGCCAAATATCAACAGTGCAATGATTGAAATTTCTTTTGAGAGCCACATTTTTTAAACTTAAACTATATAGGTAGGTACATTGTTATTAACTTAATTAGGGTTCTCCTAAGCTGGCCTTTGCTAAAAACGTCCTCAATCTGATTGAGAGCTGAGGTCGACCCCTTCCAACTCCCCCATCCACACTCCTCTTGAAGCCAGTCTCACTCAGTGAGTCTCAAGCCAGTGCTTGAATCGCGTGCACCTTCCCCTGCCCATGGGCCTCGAAGTTTCCATCGCACTGTACGTGCGTGCCCACGCGTGGTATTTTCTGGAAGAGCCACACTCAAGGGGCCAAAGAGCCGCATGTGGCTCGGGAGCCGCAGTTTGCCGACCACTGTCCTAGTTCATAGGTCCACGCTCAACCACTGAGCGGCACCTGCCGGGCTTTACCTTTCATTTTAAAGGATCAGGACCACATTACATGTTTTCCTGGGTAACTGACTAGCCATGAGGAGAAGTATGCATCAGGGAGTACAAGTCATGATGGATTAAAATTAAATATAGATCAGTTAACAAACTGACGGTCTTGTATCGAGGAGCAGCACATAGTTTGTGTGCTTCCTAATCACAATTCTAAAATATTAATGTCATTATGCATACATTAATTTGAAGGAAAATGATTAAAAGAGCATTTTGGAGTAATGGGGAAAGCATGAGTGTTGGAAGAAGGTAGAACTAGATCTGAATCTTGTGTGGCCCTAAGCAAGTTACTCAACTAGGAGTATGTGGGAGAATAAAAGCTACCTTTTAAGGTTGTTTTACTGGTTAGATTAAATGCTCTGGGCTAATCAGCACCAATACAGACATGAAAATAAACTTTAAAAGAAATGTTTGTTTCTTTGTCTATGTCACTCTAGATCAAGACATAGCTTAAGAAAATGGGCCCTAAAATGGCCTTCCCATTATATTGAAAACATCAAATATTAAAAATTATATTGAATATTTAAGAAATTATATTGGGTATTTAAAAATTACATCAAAGGCATGGAATATTTAAAAAATTGACTAGCTTCAACTGCAGTGAACTTAACAGCAATTTTTGAATGTCTACATTCTAGCATTGGTCTTATGCTAGGATGGAAGAAATATTAATAAAAGTAGTAGTATAAAAATGGTGTTTATCTTCAAAATTGCTTACGGTGTCGTTTCTTTATTTTTTTTTAGCAGTTTTTGCTGTTATAGATTGAATTTTTTTCCACTCCCCACAGGAAAACTTAGATATGCCAACAATAGCAATTACAAAAATGATGTCATGATCAGAAAAGAGGTAAGTTCTTTTGGAATGTCTAATTGTTACAGTTAGCCATTTTCCTTATGTCTGTTGAATTTACAAAAGTATATATAAGGCTGTATTGTAAAGAAGAAGCCAATTTATGTATGGAAAAGGAATTCTGCTTAAATTAGATGTAATTGTAGCATCTGTAACAATAAAAGAAACAATCTGAATATATGAAGCTGTATCATTTAATTCATTTTATAATTTGTCTTTTTACTCACTATTTAAAATGATAATCATGATTTAAGCACACTAAGAATTTTAAATGAAAGGCTTAAAAGTTAGGAATAAGAAAAAGTTCAGTCACTAGGATGTGTACTTTGTCTCTGTTCAACTCATAGATTTTTTTGTTGTCACCATTAACTGCTTGGAGAGATTTGAGTCCCATGTTACCAGGACAGAATACAGGTTTTAAAAGGGGGCTAAGTGATGTGAAGAGTGAAAAGAAAGGGCAAGAGAGTGAAGAAACAGGATAAGAAGGATGAATGATTCTAGTTGATGTTATACTTTGGAATCAGAATTAAATTTCTCTTTGTTATTCTCTTTTAATAGTTAGGGTTTGTAACTCCATTTTATCATTTCCTTTTGAGTCGTGGGAAGAAATAGAGAGGCATCATGAAATTTTATTACAACTTATTTTCAGGCTTATGTACACAAGAGTGTAATGGAAGAACTGAAGAGAATTATTGATGACAGCGAAATTACAAAAGAAGATGATGCTTTGTGGCCTCCCCCTGACAGGGTTGGCCGACAGGTTTGTATATAATGATTCTTTAAATGCATAAATATTAACATTGATAATATTGTTATGTTTCTCCTTATTTATTTATATTAGCCACTCATTGATTCCTTAGTTTTTTATTTTAGACTACTTTTACAACTGGTAAATTTTCTTTTTCTTTTCCTCATTTTCTGTGCTACCTCCTAGTAGTAAAGGAGTTGATATATAGCTCTAAATGTAGACATCTTTCTGAACAGTCTTCTATCGCCACCCCTACGATGTTTTCACACTGTTGTGAGTAATTTCTATTACATGTTAATTACTTTTTTTAGGAATAAGTATAGATATCTGTTAAATTTGGGATTTAAGTTTTTCATTGACTATGTAACATTTCCTTTATAACTTTGAAAACTCTTATTTTCATCTCTTGCCCCAGAGAGGGATTTGATTGGTGTCTTTGTTCAAGCTGACCGCTGCCTTTGCCTCTCATACTCTCTTCAGAGTAATTGATGTATCTCAGAGGGCTTCTGGAGAGTTCTGAAGGCTGATTTCACTCAGTAGAAAGATAGTTTCATTCCTAAATTGGGCTTTTCAACGCTTGGAGAAAAGAGATAATGACCCTTGGAGGAAGAAACATTTAATTTCACTTTTGTTTGTAATACCTTCGACTAGAAGAAAATGTGGAGAAATCTTAACAGATGTTGACCCTCTGTAGTAGCAATTTAACTCTTCTATTTAAAGAAACATTATTTAGGAAGCAAACATAATAGTTAATAGTATTTATGCATTGCAAACACTTAAAAAAATAATTTTAGATCTGTTTTATGCATATGTGCATATGTACAAAACACAGAAACAATAAGTAGTAAACTGTATATCTCTTTTATACTCAAGGAGAATCTAGTTTATCTACCCACTTGAGGATGTGGTCTTGTGTTTTGGTCATTGGGGAGGATTAGACATGCTTCAGAAATTGTCTGTCGGTCTTTAAGTCTTCTGATCAGCCTTCAACGGCATCTGTTATTTAACTTGAAAATGACCACAGATATAGTCTCTTATTTGTTGGTTTTAGGTTTGCAGATAAAATATAGAAAAAAGTTATACAATAATTATGGCACACTGGGAACATCTACATTATGTTTAATTTAATAGTTTTTAATTTTGATGTTTTGTGAAGTCGAAGTGTATCAATCTTTCAGTCTTACAGTTCACGATTCAAATATCCTATATAATAAAAGCCTAGTATGCAAATCGACCAAACGGTGGAATGACCAGTGGAACGACCGGTCACTATGAGGCACACTGACCACCAGGGGGCAGATGCTCAATGCAGGAGCTGCCTCCAACCTGCAGGCCCCAGGTCAGCCAATGCAGGTTATAGCCGGGGCCCCAAATCTCCCTGCCGGTCACCCTGCAAAGGGAGGCGACTGGCAGTGGTGGTGGGGGGTGGAGCCAGCGAGCAGGCAGCACCAAGTCAGCCAAAGCAGGTGCCAGTGGGGGCCCCCCATCACCCCACTGGTTACCCCACAGATCAGCCCTGATACGCAGGTTACAGCAGGGGCCCCAAATCTCCCTGCCGGTTGCCCTGCAGAGGGAGGCGACTGGCAGGGGTGGTGGCGGGTGGAGCCAGTGAGCCAAAGCAGGTTCCAGTGGGGACCCCCCCATCACCCCACTGGTTACCCCACAGATCGGCCCTGATCGCCGGCCAGGCCTAGGGAGCCTACTCATGCACGAATTCCGTGCATCGGGCCTCTAGTCAGTTTATAAACAAGTTTTTTCCTATGACTTCTGAGTCTTGGATTTCGTAGTTGTAAAAGTAGTCTAATAAAGCCTATTTGATAAGCGTATTTTAGAGATTACTGATAATATTAAAGTAGTACTATTATTAATATTATGCATTTTATTTTTAGAGCCTGGTAAAAAGGGTAAATGTGTTTTTATTTATTATAAGTAAGTGTAAGACCGTATTATTTTTACAACATTGTGCTTCAAAGTGATGCCTTTAATGTTTACTTGATATAAGAAATAATTGTGTGTCACTTTTAAGTATTCA